TTTTTTCTGTTTCTTCGTGGGGTCGTGTATGCCGGGTTTTGAGACCACGGGCTCCCAATCTTTTTTTTTCTTAGAGCTAATGTGAGAAACAACAACAAACAAAAAACAACAACTACAACCAATGTCTAAGCAAAAGCTTGTCGAGGAGCGAGGGGAAGAAGGGAGTTAAGTCAGGTTGAATGGACGCAAAAGCAGGAGACTGGCTGTCACGTAGTTTTTACGCACACACCAAGAGAGCTTCATGATTTATTTCTGCAAGCACATGCCAGAACTAAATGCGTAAACAGTTTTGCTCCGATGGTACATTCGTGCCGATGGTTGTTGGTATTTGATATTCTTCCCTAGGTTCTGTAGGGCAGGCGGAGCGTCCGACACGCGTTCATTCGTTCGGCCAGCAAAGCAAACCAGGAGGGGGAACGCAGAATCGGAATCGGTAAGCAAGGATGGGGAGGTCCAAAAATGCCTGTGGCCAAACATACAAAACCAATTCCTTCTCTTGCTGTGCTGCCTGACACTCCTGCTTGCTTGGGTGAGTACAGCAGTCGTGGAGGAGGTTGTTCGTTGATCCAACTCTAACTCGTGGGTAAGGGTTGGGCAAGGAGGCTGCACGAAGCACCCTTCCTCCCCCGGACTATCAAGAGGTGTCACACCGACGTGCGCGAGAGACCGAACGGTAAAAAGCGGCGAGAGGTAACCAGTGTCATGCCGCCGAACAACACAGCCCCTACAAGACACATCGTGTCGTCCATGTCTAAGAAGGCGTTCAGGGCGGACAAGATGCCCGGTGGGTCCCTCGTGTGGACCGAGGACCCGGACAAGATGTGGCTCCTGGTGGAGGTTCTGTCTCAAGACAACACGTTGCTGCGGGTGCGGAGCAAGGCTACGGGCGAAACCCAGGAAATCGATCTGGTGAGAAGAGGAATCAGACGCGGCATTTCATAGCCATGGCGCCCCCAGCACGGTACATATCGACGCGGTGTCTATACGTCGGTAGGTGACCTTCGACACATGACCACCCTCCTCTAGCTACTCTGCTCCCCGTCTTCCACACCGCCCTTGTCCACCAAGCTGACATATCATTCTTGTTCTTGTTCGCGAGAGAGATGAAGAGAAAACGGACATCCCGCCGCCCACGCCCATGGGTGCACAACGCGCAGCTGTCCGCAGCAAACCATGACGTCGAGAGCCGTTCTCTCGCTATTGCGCCTGCTGCTGTGCTCTTCGCTCATGACGCCATGAACCTCGTCTCGACAAAACATACGTACGGTTCACAGAAGTCGCAACATGCGTCGCTTTATCATGGGGACACACAGCAAGCTGCGGGGCGGCCCTTTGCTGCTGTGTATGCGCTGAGCGAACGTCTTTACACGAGAAATTTAACGTGGACATGTGTCCTCACCGTCATCTATCCGGTGATGTTTGTTGCTTTTTATTCGTCGTGGTGAAGACTAGGTGGAGACCACAAAGAAACTTCACAGCGTTCAGCAGTACCATCCCTCTTTGCTTGCGAAGTCTGCTTGTGCCCGTGCACAGCGGGAGCTTCAAGTCACTCCTACCTCCACACCTCGCACTCACTGGTGCAGCAGTCGTGGCTCCGATTATAAAGTAATAGTAGTTTAAGAGGGTGGTGTGTCGAAGGCCCTCGGCCCTCTTTCCATGTGTTGGAGCCCCCTCTTATGCCGGAATGAGAGAGTACTCGAGTTTCTATTGTAAGAGGTGGAGTCAGTAACAACCGATTTGGATCCCCTTTGTCGAAGCCCCCTCCTATTCAGGTACCCTCTTATGTCCGAGCTGCGACTTTTTACTGTAGATAAGAGTCGCAGGCCGTGAGAGCGAGGCCAGTTTTGCAATCAATTTTGGTGATTGGTAACGCAACAGAAGCGCGACAGCGGTGTGATTCAAAGAGTCAAACATAACTTTGCTGAGGGGATCAATTCGTGGCGGAGAGAGAGAGAGTCGAAGACCACGAAGGAGCTGTTCATGCGGTTGGATCCGCGAACACGAGTTATCGTCACTGAGGACTATATAGTCAAATGACTACCCTCATCCTGTACAGCAGTAGGTAGTACAATGTGCAGCATCTCACTTTACTTCACCTGCAGTAGTACCGCACTCGAAATCCGATATACCAAGTGGTGTGCTTTAGGTTTTGTACGTCAATACTAAGTCCTCCTCCGGAGTATACGGTAGACCCTCACCCCCTTCCCTCTCTCGATTTGGTCCTTATAATCCAGTTTGAGGCAAAATACCCTGGCGCGTTCCCTCTTGCTTGTACTTTGACCCCGGGGGGGGGGG